GATGGTGGGGTATCTTTGGAGATGGGCAACAAATATAATGAATTATCTTTGGAGACAAGTAACAAAAATGGTGGGGTATCTTTGGAGATGGGCGACAAAGATAATGGGGCATCTTTGGAGGCCGGTAAAAAAAAATAGTGGAGTGACGAAACTACTAATGGATTAAGAGTGCTCGCACAGGAAAGCTATTACAACGTAAAGGTTTGACCTAAACATTTATTGCTCTGGCAGAGAAGAAAATACGTAGAGTTTTAGAATTTTCTTTTTTGTTTCGCATCCCTGAGTGATTTTCTCAGTCAAGTGAAACCTCGATAATAAAGGGGAGGATATATATGTTTTTTTCAATTTTTATAATTATTTTTGTTTAATGCGAGAAATAAATACTTCAAAAAGTGATCTCATTACTTAAAAAAGAAGCGATACGATGCATAATAAAACAACTGTGATGTTTTGATGATTTATAAAAAAAAAAATTCGAAGAATATAAACCTCAGGGCTATTTATCTAAAAATATAACATATGAAGCCGGATTACCGTTTTACTTCTTCGATGTCTTGTTTCCTTATCATCAATCAGTCTTTTCTGTCATGATGATAAACTATTTTATGAGCTGAAAGAATTTTAGTATGCAATGTCCACTTTTATATCCTAGTCTCATTAAACTTCCTTGTTATTTATCCACTGAGTGGTCACAAGTAAATAGACACCTAATGTTTCGTCATTTAACTGATTTATGCTAACTAATTTGTATTCACAGAGCACTATATAAATGCAAATGGTCCGCACACTAATTATCTTATGCTACAACATGCCTAGAGCTCAAGGTTCTCTCGAATTGTCAGATTTTGTTAGAGGAAGGATAGTTGGTCAAGCAGATGGTGGAATAAGTTAGCGGCAAATCATCGTGCAGTTCAGGAAACACGGCAAGGAAACAACTGAGCAGCGTACGGGTCGTCCTGGTCCATCGGAGAGGACAAAAAGGGCTGTCAAGAGGAGCATCGAAATGGATCCCAGATTAACGACTGCAGAAGTGGCCAAAGATGGTGGGATGAGCCCGAAATCTGTTCAACGGATTCTCCCCAGATTGGGTTATCGTTGCAGAGCAGCTAGACGGAAGCCATTATTAAGACCTGCCAACACAGTCAAACGAAAGAAGTGGGCAAGTGATATGATGACCAAGCCTCTGGACTTTTGGAAGACCGTATTGTTCTCAGACGAATGAAAATTCGCTCAATTTTCGGACAGTGGAAGAATATGGGTCTGGAGAATGCCTCACCAAGAGTTTTGGCTCAACAGATTTCAGCCAACTGTGAAGCATGGTGGTTTCAGCGTGATGGTTTGGGGAGCTGTTTGGGTTGGTGGCAGATCGAGCTTAGTGGAGTGCGTTGGCAACATAAATTTTGCGAAATACGTCGAAATATTGGAGGAAGGACTCTTGCCACTTTATTCCTCGGGTTTCGTGGACAAGAACACAACGTTGTTCCAGGAAGATGGAGCACTGTGTCACACTTCTAGAAACACCCAAAAGTGGCAGGAAGAAAATGGTATCCAGAAGTTGCCTTGGCCGAGCCAATCTCCTGACACGAACCCCATCAAAAACCTTTGGGCCATACTCGACCGGCAAGTCAAGAAACAACAAAAAAAAACAATTTCGAAGATCGATCTACTCCAGGTTTTGAAGCAAGAGTGGGCGAAAATCCCACAATATAAAATTGACGAGATGATTCTCACGATGCCCCAAAGAATCAACGAACTCCACGAAGCGAAAGGAAGATCTACTAGATATTAATTAAATTATAAATGTATCAATCCATGTGAATATGACTGAAAATTTTCATTTTTCTGAAAAGGTGGTGTATTTACTTGTTACCACGCTGTGTATATATATAAACAAAACTACCATATATATATATGTATATAGGTAAACAAAACTAACATATATATAAATATATATATAAACAAAACTACCATATATATATATGTGTAAACAAACTACCATATATATATATATATATGTAGAAACAAACTACCATATATATATATATATATATAAACTAAACTACTATATACATATATAT